AGGCCGGCCGTGGGCCTCCAAGGCGCATGTCCGAAGGGCGTGCGGCCTGGGCCCCCCCAGCAACCGTCGGGCCCCCAAAATGGGGCCCGTGTGCAGGCTCAGCATGTAACACCCCCCCCCCTTCCTTATGAAGTCAAGCCAGGTCGAGGGCGGAGCTGACGATCCGAAGGTGGAACCTAGACGCGAGTACGACGTGGAGCTGAAGGTGCCGGCTTGCCTTGTTGTTTGCGTTCGTAATCTGCGATGACATCGGGGGCTGTAGGCCAATCGCCAGCGTCTTCCTTGTTCGTTCCGTGCGGGTCAATCAATGGTAAGCCTTACGGCTACAATAGGAAAATTGTACTAAGTACTCTGTCTGTTTGGTGCCGTAGCGCCGCTGCAAAATGATGTCGCTAACCTCCTGAAAACCATCCATGGACGGTGGGTATTGCGATCGTTGCTCAGGAAAATCACCTCAATCCGTCGAAACGAAAAGAGCCAACTTTGAACAATTAAGGATCTGGTGGACGGGCAAGTGGGCGGGAACCTGAATGACAAATGAAGGTCCTTCCGGTGCGTCACCAGCGGGTGCTACAATGCGCCAAGGCCCCATCCATTTCGGAAGGAGCTTGCGAGAGGTATTTTGTTTGAGGCTGAATTCCGCGCAAGAAACCCAAATAAGGTCGCCTGCGCGGAACGAACAAGGAAGACGCTGGCGATTGGCCTGATGGCTCATGCGTTGCTGCGTCTTCGACATCTGGTCGCGTGCCTTGACAAGGAGCTCCTGCATCCGTCAAATGAAAGACAAGGTGGTCGTCGCTCTCAATCGTTCGTGGGATGATGGTGTCCAACGACGATGTGACCAGCGAACCATGCTCGAACTCAAAGGGCGACATTGCAATAGCCGGATGAATGGACCGATTGTAAGCCAACTCGATGTCCGACACCCACTCAACCCAATCCTTTCGGTTGGGACGAATGACAGTGCGAAGAAGAACCTTCGCCCTCTACGTCTGACCATCATTTTGTGGGTGGCGAGCCAAACTCGGCTTGAGAGATTAGCCCCATCGTTTGATGAGAGCCAACCAAAAGCCGGACATGTCGCGGTCGCAAACGATCTCCTTGGGGTAGCCCTTGGTACGAATCCAACCGACATAAAGAACCTCAACCAACTCCGATGCCTCGGCGTGATAGCGACAAGGCAAAAACATGGCGAACTTGGTGAGTCGATCGACCACCGTGAGAATCTCATCCATACCGGTCTTATGCTTGGGAAACGGCCCGATGATGTCCATGGCAATCGATTCTTCTCATCCTAAGGGGACCAGTAACGGTTGCAAATTGCTAAAGGGACGATGATTGCAGGATTTGCGACGCCGACAAACCTCGCATGACTCGCAATAGTGTGTGACGTCGCCGAGAAGGCTGGACCACCAAAAGCGCTCAAGAAGTGGATCCATCGTACGATTGACTCCTGAGTGTCCGGTAGCGAGAGCGTCGTAGAACTAGCCAAGAAGCCTTGTACGCAAGTGTGAATCACATGGTACGGAAAAAAGATCCTTTCCCCACAAGTGGACTAGCAAATAGCCCTCCAGGATCCGATAACGCGATGGCGGCGGATTTGGAGAGGACCAATTCGCGTACTTGTCGCGAAACTCAGAGTCGACTTGGTAGCCGCGAATGAAGCTGTCCCGCAAGTCATCGCCAACCTTGGACGTCGAGTAGACTGCAGTACAAAGGTCCGGGCACAGTGAAAGAGCGTTCGCAAAACGGTTTGACTTTCCCCGAATGTGATTGGGGAGAAAGTTGAACTGGTCAATCAAAGCCATCCAACGGGCGATGGAACTATTAACCATGTCTTGGGACTTGTGAAAGAATAATGGATTGTTATCCGTTACCCATCGGAATTGACTTCGACCAACAAGAAAATGTCGCCACCACTTAAGCGTGTGTACGAAGGCCAGTAACTCCTTCTGTGTGTCGTCAATTGAATGCATGACGGCCACCTTCTTACTAAAGTACTCCACCGGGTGCCAGTCCACGCCATCGTGTTGCTCGAGGACGGCACCAATGCCATAGTCGGACGCGTCCGTAGTAACGCGAGTCGGCAAAAGCAAGTCATAGATGCGTAAAATCTCTGCGGATAGCAAGGCGGCTTTGAGGGTCGAAAAGGAAACCCACGCATCGTCGCCAAAGTCGAACGACCGATCCTCGCATTAAAGCTTGGTCAAATAAGTGATCTTTGAATAAACTTTGATAAAGCATCGATAGTAGCCGGCTAGGCCAAGAAACGAACGGACATCCGTAACGTTCTTCAGCTCCGGCCACTCTTGGATGGCTTGAATCTGGTCCGATAACGGGCTAATGCCCTCCAGTGTGACAAAATGGCCTACATACTCCAACTCTTGACACACGAATTCGCACTTGTCGTGGTTGGCTTTGTACTTGGCGCGATGGAGCGTCTCCAATAGACGTCGAAGATGCTCAAGATGGTCCTCCAACGTCGGACTATAGTCAAGAATGTCGTCCACGTAGACCAGCACAAACCGGTTCAGCGTCGCATGAAACTCGTTGGTCATTGCCGCTTGAAAGGTCCCTAGGGCATTGGTGAGGCCAAAAGGCATGATGATCCACTCAAAATACCCGTACCGCGTCTTAAACGCGGATTCGTAGCGATCTTGCTGGCATATTGAAATCTGATGATAGCGCGACTTCAAGTCCAATTTCGAGAAGTACTTTGCGCTACTTGTTCTTCTTCCGTACGAAGAGAACTGGTGCACCATATGGTGAGCTAATAGGGTGGATCCAACCCTTGTCCAACAACTCATCGAGTTGCACACGGATGCAACCTTTCGGCGGCACGGCATGAGCTCTTCCTCACTCATGCGAAAGATGCAACCTTTCGGCGGCACGACACCGGCGTCAAGGATGATCTCATGGGAGATCCGCCGGTCCGGCACAACACTGGTTGGAGACTCAAAGATGTCAACGAACTCGTCAAGCAACCGCACCGCGCGGGGGTCCGAAGACAAGTCCGCAGGTGAAGATTTGGTCGCCGCGATGGTCCGAAGAAAACAAAGGCCTATTTCGTCAGTCTGCACGTAAGCACAAGTAGACCGGAAGGATTTGGCCATCACTACTTGGCGCCGGATCGAAGGGTGCGGAAGAGGAATGGTACACGAGACTTCGGCGCCAAAAGTGTCGCAAACGGTAAGCGTCTACCGATGAAAGTTGACCGTGTGGTCAGCACTCGCGAGCCAAGGCATCCCCAAAATGATGTCGAAGTTTGTGTCCAGGACGTCAGACGTGACCGGTTCGCATGCATGTTGGTGCGAAATAAATCGGCACGGCCTCGATGTAGCGATCAAGAAGTTAGTGTGTACGACCGTCCGCCATCTTAACCGCCGTAGGATGTGGCTTCCTTCGAACTTGTGCACCAAGGCCGACTCTTTGTATAAAGGACTGGCTCAGAAAATTGTGAGTCGTGCCACAATCCAGCAAAGCGCTGCAGGACGCTTGCCCAACTTGGATGCGGACATAGAGGAGCGGTGCGTTGTTGTCGTCGTACTGCTGCGTGCGAAACTCGCGGGCCACCTTGGTGATATATGCAAGGAGGTCCCCCACTGCGACTTCGTCATCCGTTCGCAAGCTTGGTGGTGCTTAGAAGGGCAAATACGTGGCCTTGTCCGAACAGACCAAAAGCCAGTTCGGACGAACTGCAAGTCCGAAACGACGCCTAAACAGACAAAAACAGGACCAAAAGTCTGTTCGGACGAACTGCAAATCCGAAACGACACCTGAACTGACAAAAGTAGGACCATAAGTCTGTTCGGACGAATTGCAAGTCCGAAACGACGCCTGAACAAACAAAAAGAGGACAGCAAATAAATAAATAAATAAATAAATGAACGCTGCCTCAAATCAAATCTTGCGGCCCTAAGGCCAGCCATGGGCCTCCAGGCAGCATGTCCGAAGGGCGTGTAGCCTGGGGCCCCCCAGCAACCATCGGGCCCCCAAATGGGGTCCGTGTGCAGGCTTAGCATGGAACAGCATGTGTGTAAGTGTGTGTGCATGGGTGTGTGCGTGGGTGTGTGCATGTGTGTGTGTGTGTGTGTGTGTGTGTGTGTTGTAAATTGTCACCACAACAGCCCTTTTTCCATCCAGATGAGGTGATCCAAAATTGAAGCTGCTTTACCTCTAAAGATGAACCAATCCAACAATGACTCCGTTTTACGGTTTTACCTCTAATGCAAACAACAAGAGGCACGATAGGTCCGTTATATCCCTTTCTTCTCCATCTTTACTTTGGCTTTCTTTGGGGTACCCCTTTTAGTTGTTCTTGCAGTTACCCTTTTACTGTGCCTCCAATGTGTGTGTGTGTGTCTGCTGTCATCTTCCCTATGCACAACCCCACAGAAAAAAGCATAACTGCGCCAGACTATTTCGTCGGACTTTCACCGACTCATCAGGAGGTTGAACCCTGACAGTCTGCCGAGGATGCACTTGACTGAAGGATAAGGACTAACCAAGTCAGCCAGAGTTAGTAATACCCCTGAGAAAAGAGGTCAACTTTCCTCACACCAACCCTGCAAACCATTGCTCTGTGTGTGTGAGAAAGCAAGTGAGCAAGAGAGAGAGAGAGAGAGAGAGAGAGAGAGAGAGAGAGAGAGAGAGAGAGAGAGAGAGNAGAGAGAGAGAGAGAGAGAGAGAGAGAGAGAGAGAGCAACCTGTGAGCGTGTGTCTGTGTGCACGCGCGCGCGCGCGCGCGCGCGCGCGAGAGAGAGAGAGAGAGAGAGAGAGAGAGAGAGAGAGAGAGAGAGAGAGAGAGAGAGAGAGAGAGAGAGAGAGCACATAATAGTTGGTATCAAGCTTTTATGGCCAATGGTTACAATCTGTCAGTGCTGTCCCAAAAAGCAGTGTCACGATGTAGACTTGCTCACACAATGAGTCCTGGGCTTAGAATAAAAGGGACCAAGAGTGGGGTCAAATTAATGCACAAGGGTTGGAAATTTATAACTTACATTGCCAAACTCTATCTCACTTATTCCGACAGTATGGATCAGCTTGGCCTTGTCCACCTTAAGCTGAGAGACAAGAGAAGCATGCATGCACATTATCTGCATCAGTCAGACCTCCCATTGGAATGAGGTAACCAATGTGCTGATCAATGTTGAAAGAAAATCCAGCATTGGTCAATTGATAGCCAGATTACCGGGCTGGAAAGCCCAGAGAGTCCACCTCAACTGTCCGGGGTAGACGCTTGTGAACCCAACCTTCCAAAAAAGGGCCAGGTAGAGCTCTGCGCATGTTACCAGACTGGGCATCATTGTGATTGGGAAGTGCAAGGCATGGAGAGCCGAAGTCCAGACTTGATCCCAAGAAACGTGATTGGGGATGATGGGGAGTTGGGGGGCAGAGTTAGGGCGGGGCGGTATATAGGAAGAGTCTCAGCTTCTACGAATTTGGATGGAGTGCGCGTTAATGTTTAGACCAAAATAAGCAAATAAAGAAACAGTTTTCTGCTACCTCCGGTGGGTTTCACAAACTCTCAACAGCATCAGGAAACTCACACTAGCCACATCCCCTACTAAGATATCCAGTTTATTTTGGGATGGCCGGCAACTGGAGTATTAAAACGTGGAGGAGGAGAAGACAGACTGACCATAGCTGTGAACCACCGCCCACTCCTACATCCCACTGCCCCACATCCAGATAATACCACAAGACAGAAAGCATAAGCCAAGAAGTAGGAAAGAGTTATGCAGGCAACCACTGTTTTGCACTTCATGGATCGAAAGTCCCACAGGAACCTTGTATCTCACCAACAAGGACTATATCTAGTTTGCATGGATGAAAACGGGGACGTGGCAGATTTGCTGTGTATGGAATGGAGAGAGCCAGTGACCAGCCCCCTTCAAAGAGTTATGTTTCACAGGCTTTGGTCACCAACTGCTTTCAGAATGTGGGATGTTTCTTCTTCTTGAAAATGTGAATGGTGGGTGGACCTGTGTACAACTCCAGTCATCTTACTCTGCAATATTGCTAAGAACAAAGTTTGGACTTGAAACTTCGAAAGATCATGTGCAGATTTGAAGTTTGAGCGTGAAACTTGAAAGTTAATTGTTGTCAATCAAAAACTGATCACCTTCAAATCATCATCATCATCACCATCACCGCCACCATGATATCTTTGTCATACTGCCTTCACGCTCCCCCCACACCAGCCTTCCCACCACCAGGTCCCCTGGCCAACCCCTCCAATCCAAAATCAAACATCTGAAAAAACTTCATACTCTTGCACTTCTCAGCTTGCTCAATACAAACCTGTGAAAGGATTCATGCTGCAGACACTCCAGTTCCGGTCCCAGGGGTCCCAAAGTGTCCCAGTCCCAGACTGTCCCGGTAGGATAGGCCTTAGGGTCCATAGGTTGAAGCCTCGTAGGTTGATAGGTGTCAGTACTGAGACGTCACAGCTCATTAAAAGTCTGTCCGGTGCCCGACAAGAAAAGTCCAGCCCAGTCCAGTATAGCCTCAAGTCCAATTTTGCAGCATGTCCCAGCAAAGTTCGTAAGCTATCAGACCGAGAAAATGGTTGCAGCAGACAGGCGGCGGCCGACCGGTACCGGTCTGAAGCAGGCCAAGCCCAGTCCAGTCCTATATTTTGCTGCTACATGGCAGCCGCTCATCACTTGTTCAGTTGAAAGATGTGGAAGCGCTGCTGCTCCATAGCTAGGGTAGCAGGAGATAGGGAGTAGGGGCGCCAATAGCCGCCAAGTGTGAAGCTTACCTGGATTGGTGTATCCAGGGTTACGACCTAGGGTATAGACAGATAGTGAGGTAGAGCAAACGAGCGAGAAGGAGAAAGAAGCCAGTTCTATGTGTGTGTGTGTGTGTGTGGCAGAGCCGCGTGGAGACATAAACATTCTTTGTATAATAATGATAACTGTGGAGACAACTTCCTCATGTGTTGATTGTACCTCAGCTTTGGCTTCTCACGTGTGTACTCTCGTGTGAATGTTCATTGATGTATGCGAGGTGGAACTTGATGGAAACTTGGTTCATTTCAGTGGCATCGGAGCTGGTTCCAGCTGCACCCACTTCGAGTTGAGGTGCTGGCAAGGAAGAAGGCTGACAGACGATAAAAAAAAAGGAGGTATTATTGGGTTTTAACTGGAGGAGGGCCGAAGAAGAAGGGGTAAAGCAAGGTGCATGGGTCCTGGGGACCATCTTATGCAGATGTGTACATGTCATGCATCATCTTCCACACACAATGAAC